ATGAGCACTGACTACGATCACAACAAATGCGGAGCAAGAAAGGGACTCCAGGGCTTTCCTGGAGAAATGACATTAGGTTGTGAGCTTCAGGATGACAGGGGTTAACTGAGGCTGGAAGGGGGGCCTCCTGGCAGCCCCCAGGTGGAAGTGATCGTTTGTGGAAGGTCTGGTGCCAGAAAGGAACCTGGCACAGCTCAGAGGCGTTGGAGCCCAGTGATCAGGGAGGAACCAGGCCGAGATGAGGCTGAAAACAGGGGCAGGGCCAGATCAGGCAGGGCTGTGTTGGCCCCAGGGGACCTGTCTTCCTGCTGAAAGTGTGGGACAACAGGATGGGCTTTTTAGCATCGAGGGTGAGAGTGAAGAGTATGTGTGTGTCGCCTGAGCAAACATACTTGGAAAACGTTGTCCTAGCTATAGAGTGAACATATTTAGAAGTGGAGAGATCACTCAGAAGCTATTACAAGAATTCAGGAGGTGAGTGGGAGCTTAGACCAGGGAGGAGGCCATGGACTTGGGATACCCTAGCTCAGTACTGCCCTCCTCTGCAGGAGATCACAAGACTCAATGCTTAGAGTAAGAATGCCAAGGGTCTGGTTCACAGTAAACAGACAACTACTTTAAATTGCACATGAACGTTATGGACACCCTGTATATGAGTTTTCCCATCCTCCTGACACGGGCAGATAGCGGACATGTGGCGGAGGTTCCTGTGCCTGTCAGGCTCTGCTTTTCTGAGATTGTTTCTGTTTTAGTCCCCAAAACAGCCCTTTTTTTTTTTTTTTTTTTTTTTGAGACGGAGCCTCAAGCTATCCCCCTGAGTAGAGTGCCATGGCATCACGCTCACAGCAACCTCCAACTCCTGGGCTCAAGCGAGTCTCCTGCCTCAGCCTCCCAAGTAGCTGGGACTACAGGCGCCCGCCACAACGCCCGGCCATTTTTTGGTTGCAGCCATCATTGTTTGGCGGGCCCGGGCTGGGGATTCGAACCCGCCACCTTAGGTGTATGTGGCTGGCGCCTTAGCCGCTTGAGCCACAGGCGCCGAGCCTCCCAAAACAGCCCTGTGTTTGTCCAGGGAAGTGGGACAGGAAGCAGCCTGAGACACATTGGAGAGACGTTCCTTTCCAAAATATTTTTGAGGTGAAAAAAGAGAAGGCAACTGATACAGATCTGGGGAATGTCGCACAGCCACATGCCCACTCCTCCTACACACACCAGTGTGAGATCCCTCGGTAAAAAATGACATGGGTCTGATTCAGCATAGACAGGGCCAGTGCCTCTAAGAAGGCTTTGGACTCCTGGGAGTGCTGTCAGGTCTGAGGCTTCCTTGGGAAATGCTTTCTCTTGCAGCCAATCAGGTAATGAAAATTGCATACAGCTGTGATCGAGTAACCCAGATAAAGGCCTCTTGTGTTCATTGCAGCCTGTGCCATATCGGATGACCTGCTCTTCCAATGGAAATAAAGAGCGGCCACTCTCCAACCCAGCGGGGAGAGGGAGAAAGCCTCCCCCTGTGTCACATGGTCAGCTGGGGCAAAGCCTTCCCTATGGGTTAGTTTACAAAGTGCACAACTAAGAGAGACCCACACATTTACATTCATCAGATGGTGTCATTATAAGCACAGTCAGAAATGCTTCTGGCTAAGCAGAAAATGTAATTCTATTGCTTTCACCTCTCAAAGAAACAACCCACAAACAAAGGAGCTCTCACCTTGACACACTGAAGGCTAAACACTCTTTCCTGAAGACAAACTCAGGCAAGAAAATTTAGCAACAACTTACTGTAACCTAAATGATTCCTGCCCTAAAAGCCTATAACCACAGAAGAAGGTCCCACTTCCTTTTAGTACCCCAATAATGATGGCATTAACCCCAGCAGCTGGATTGTTGGTAAACTCTCCCTTCAAAGTGCCCCTTGGTTACTTCAAAGGGTTCTCAAAGGGCTGCCCAAGCCAGTCTCTCAGCCTCAGGCAGGTGCAGCAGGGCTCTCTTCCTTCTCTGGGGTCGGCTGCCCACTCATCCCAAAGCTTCCCTGCCTGTCATGACGGTGTCAGGGACTCGACCAAGGGGGCTCTTCCTTGGAGTGGCCAGGAGGCTCCAGTCACGCCTCATGTAAAGATGTTTTGGTTAATGACTGGCCATGTGTATGACAGTGGTCCCCTAAGATTGCAATGGAGCTGAAAACCTCCTATTGCCTGGTGACACTGTGGCCATCATAAGTCATAGTACCAGGCATCATACACGAGTTTGTGGAGGTGCTGGTGTACACAAACCTTCTGTACACCAGTCGTGTGAAAGTATAGCACGTGCAATTAAGTAGAGCACATTGTCCTTGAAAATGATAACAAACAACTATGCTATCAATTTGTTTTTACTATACACATACTCCTTCTTAATAAAAACTTAACTGTAGAACAGCTTCAGGACAGTCCATAGGAGGTATCCAGAAGAAGGCATTGTTATCATAGGAGGTGACAGCTCCATGGATGTTATTGCCCCTGAAGGCCTCCCAGTGAGATAAGACCACGTGAAGGTGGAAAATAGTGATGTGGATGAACCTGACCTTGTGTAGGCCTAGGCTAATGTGTGTGTTGGTGTCTTAATTTGTTTTTTTTACCCATATCCAAATCATAGAAGTTTTATTGTTTTCAAATACTATACAAAAAAATAGACAGTATGTATCTCTTGATTAACAGATCCAGAACCAGTCCAAACTAAACACTATTTTCCTATTTCACATTAGAGCTGCTACAATAATTACTGAGTTCTACTCTCCTAGCCAATCACCTTGGCCTTTTTAAGCATAAGAAGTCCTGTTTTATTTCTCACAAACTCCATAAATTAAAGACATTCCTTTTTGTAAGATGGAGGTATCTTCAAGGATATTTTCTCCTATTACACTTCTCGAGTCCTTAAATATTTGACATTTCCTAAGTATCTGAGATTCCACTCTCTTGCTCCCATATCATGTCAAACACAAAGCACAGTAACCGGGACCTCTTTGTGGTATGTCCATTAATTATTTACTGTGTTTCAAATTGCTTAAATATCTATGAATTCATAATATGCACTGCCACAAAGGCCATTTTGAATAATATTTCTAAATCCGTGTCTATTTTTCTAAACTCAGCTCCACTCTTTGCACTTTACAGTAGATTATATTTTTTAAAGATTAAGTGTAGATGTCTAGGAAAGTGATTTTCCAATTTCTTCTTTCACAGCCATCCCTGATATGTACCTATATATATACTCACCCCATTTGGGTAGTACATAACCTTCCAGCTAGACAGCAAAGAGACTTGAGGACTTTCCCCTCAACTAAAGAAATTGCCACCTTACTCCATTTGCCTTGTTAAAAAGATAGTAATAGGGTGGGATACCCAGGAAACAATGTAATGATGTTGGAATTTTAAAAAAATTTAAAGACTAAATGACAGAAAAAATTATTCAACAGTGATGTTAAATCACCACAATATTTTTATACAAAGATACATTTCTGAAGATCCACTCCACTGAGACGATGTTTCAATCACCTTTGCCTTAAATCCGATAAAAGGCAATTATTTAGAATATGTTAATCTGATGCCACTAAGCAATGATTTAAAGTTGATGGTTTAAAAATTGTCATTTCTTTTTAGTACAGACATCGGTTGTTTCTTTATTATAACAAGTTTTTTCTAGACCTAGAATACTGATACACAGAATGTCTTAAGCTTTTCACATATAATAAAGCATAGCTTTAATGGCATTCAAAATACTAACAAAAGCTCTAGCAAACAAGAATGGCAACATGTTATTCCATAACAATCAACACTTGCAGCTTTTCAAATTTGGTTTTCAAAAGATAATTTATCCTGAAGTAAATCTAGCCATGCTTTTAAAAAATGCTTTAGATCACTCTACGCTTGGCAATTAACATTTGGCATAAAAAATAATAAAACAATCGCATCTTAATAAATAACAAATACAACATTCTAGGGCATAAACATATACAGCATAAGGAAAAGGTGGTGGTGGTAAGTAATTATTAGAATTAATCGAGTACCTTGACCTCTATGCAAATTCATCCAGAGGCTTTGGTTCATTCAGCCCCAACACTCAGTTCTCAAATAGGGGACAGTATCTACAGTATCCTTTTAGAAGAGTTTCTAACACATTGAAAACAAATAAGTAGAAAAAGGATGAGTTGATTTTTATTAATGTATTACATTCTCAGGAGTTATCACCAACTCCTTCGTGTAAAAAAATGCTCAAGTTGTATTAGTCACGTAACTTTGTGTGCTTACATGGTACTAAATAGATTAAATGAAGACAGCAATGTTCCCCACAATGTGATTGATTTTGACAGTTTTACAACAATCTAGATCTAAAACTCTTTCAGTTTGAATTGAAAGGAGTGCTCATATTTCAACCTACTGACAATATGCTTAAGTTGAAATGTTGTTTTGTCAATTTACTCAAATTACAATTTTAACCTGGTAAAAAAAAATTAGTTGATATGAGTAGCATAATAACCAACATACTGACAAGGTTACTGTTACACATGGAGATTAATAAGGATGGAGGGGGGTCCACTCTTACCACCTACAAGTTTGATTACTGTACATACAGTCACACAACTGTAACAAATTGGATGTAGAACTATTTATTCTCATCCGGTGTCTTCAGACACCCAAGATATGTACCTTATACCAAAACAGTGTTTATTTCAAAATATTTTTTGTAACTGGTAGCTCTTCCCTTAGAGGTAAAGAAAATATACCAAGACTTTTAATAACTAGGATTCAGAAAATGTAAAAGAACAATTTTAATTAGGAATCAAATACACAGTTTCAAAGAGAAAAAGAAACCTTATAGAAGACAAAGACCAAACTGACTTCCCAGATCGATAGCAATTTGTAAAGTAGGAAAGAGACTGTTACAACCTGCAGCTTCTTAGATCATTCTATTCCGCGTCCCCAGGTACTACGAGTGTTTTTATAATGGTGTTTCCTAAATAAAGGGCCTTAAAGATACATTAGAGGGTGTTTCCCAGGAGTAGAGGTGGAGATATTTTCATTTTGTTTAACCCACAAGCTATTTGGTCAAAGGAGTATGTAAAGCTAAGTAAAAGCCCATCTGGTAGAAATTCACAAATGTTGACAAGATGTGCTCAGATCTCGCTTGCAGCCTCTGGCAGTGGGACGCAGAACAAAGGTAGGAATCTCCCAGGCTCTCCTGTGTTGGTTCTGGATGAGGCTCCCTGGTGGTGGCACTAGCATTTGCAGTTGATCAAGACTTCTCCAAAGTCAAAACCGACAGGCTTGGTTCCCCCTACTTTAGACTTTAAGTTTTCAACCTTTTCTTCAAATGATTTCAAGGTTGGGGAGTTTTTGATATCTTCCAGCTTTTTGGTGATGACGGAGCCAACGGATGAAAAGGCAGCGGAAGCCTTCTGTCCAGCCTGAGACAATGCTTCAGATGTCTTCTTGTATGCAGATGTTGCCGCCACATCTTGCCATCCTTTGGCAATATTCTGTTTTAATTCTTGTAGTGAACCGATTCCAAGTTTCCGCTTGATCCCTGCTAGGTGCTTCTCTTTTGCTGCTAACACTTGAGACAGAGTCTGAATTTCTTCTTCAACCTTTGCCAGTTCTCGTCTCAGCTCTTCTCGCTCCTCTTCTGATAGGTCGTCTGTAGGACTGACGGTGGCAGCAACATCCTCTCCTTCCTCAGGGGCTGGATCTGTCCTCAGCAGACCAAATTTCTGAAGAGCAGGTGATCCGGGTGGAGATGAATTTCCACTAGGAGACAAGTAGAGATAGCTTTTGTTCACTCCTGTATCAAAATCAAACGGGGACTGGTAGTCCTCATGTAAGTCCATCTCTCTACAATCCATTCCAGGCAAAGCACAACGCATGGCTTTACAACCTCGGGACCTGATTCCTCAGATGACTACAGCTTTGCCCATATTCCCTGTTGCCGGATGCCAAGAACATGGGAGAATAAGTATTCTCACAAAAGAAGTCAACCAGAGGGCTTAGACGCCCTGGCTTCCGGGTGATACAGCATTTCCTTCCTTGTGTCTTAATTTTTAACAAAAACGTTGAAAAAGTAAAACAAAAATGTTTCAATGGAAAATATGTTATAGGATAAGAATATTAAAAAAGAAAATAGTTTTGGATGGTGTACAGTGTATTTAGGTCTTGAGATACATTATTACAAAAGAGCCCAACAGTTAAAAATATTTAAAAGTAAAACATTTCCATTTTGTTTCTTTTTTTATTTTATGCCTTGCTGTGTTGTCCAGGCTGGTCTTGAACTCCCGGTCTCAAGCAATCCTTCCCGCCTCAGTGTGCCATGTAGCTGGGATTCTGGCAAAATGTTACTAAAGTAAAAAAATTACAGTAAGCCAGATTTATTCAGCTTACTGCTAATTTAAAAATAAATAAATTTAGTGCAGCCTGTGTCACTCACTATGTACTTGCTGACTCACCCTGAATAGCTCCTGTTCTGTAATTCATAGTAAGTCCCCTGTACAGGTATACCATTTTTTAATCTCTCTCTCTCTCACTTTGGGTTGTTTTTTTTTTTTAAGAGACAAGGTCTCACTTTGTTGCCCAGCCTAGAGTACACTGGCATGATCAGAGCTCACTGCAGCCTAGAACTCCTGAGCTCCAGTGATCCTCTAGCCTCAGCCTCTCAGAATACTAGGCCACTGCACCTGGCCCTTTTCAAATCTCTTGTACTATACTTTTACTTTGTCTTTCCCATGTTCTGATATGCGTGGATACATAAATCCTTACCACCGTGTTACAGCTGCCTGCACTATTTGGTACAGAGTGTGCTGTATGGGTATGTAGCCTAGGAGCAGTAGGCTATCCCATGTAACCTAGGTGTGGAGCAGGCTAGACCATCAAGAGGTGAGTAAGTTCACTCTGTGATGTTCACACAATGACGAAACTGCCTAAAGGTGCCAAGTATTTCTCAGAACCTAGGCCCCTCGATAAGCGTCCCATGACCATACTGAAGGCTTTTGAGCGGAAGAGCAGCATGATCTGGCTCCTCTTTTAATAAGACTATCACGTGGTTGTTGTGCTGAGAATAAATTGCAGGGGGTGAGAGTAGCAGCAGGGAGAACTACGTACAGGTGAGAGATCACAGTGCTTGGACCAGGGCGGTGGCCATGCAGATGATGACTTGTGGTCAGGTATGGGGTCAATCCCAGTCTCCTGATTGGAACGCAAGAGGAAACAGAGTCAAGGATGACTCTGAGATCCTCAGGCTGAGACCCAGTATGGATGGAGCTGCTGTTAACTGGCTAGGAAATTAGCTCTGTCCGCTGTTTGCCTGGCTGAGCCCTAGACTTGTCAAATACTAGTGCAGCAGTCAAACTTTGGGATCCATGACAACTGTTTTTCCACCTGGTTCACTGGAAATCATATTTATTTCTAGCAAAGAGACTACAATCACACAGGAGATAAATAAAGTAGTGCTTTTTTTTCTTTTTTTGCAGTTTTTGGCCGGGGCTGGGTTTGAACCCACCTCTGGCATATGGGGTTGGCACCCTACTCCTTTGAGCCACAGGTGATGCCCAAATAGTTCTTTTTTACTTAAAATATTTTTTGAGATAGTCTCGCTTTATGGCCCCCGGTTGAGTACCCTGGCATCATAGCTCACAGCAACTCAAACTCTTAAGCTTAAGTGATTCTCTTGCCTTAGCCTCCTCAGTAGCTGGGACTATAGGTGCCCGCCACAATGCCCAGCTATATTTTTGTTGCAGTTGTCATTGTTGTTTAACAGGCCTGGGCCAGGTTTGAACCCACCAGTTCTGGGGTATGTGGCCGGCATCCTAACCACTGAGCTATGAGTGCTGAACCAACAATTTTTTTTAATTAACGAATTTTACAGACAAAATTTCTGATCATAATATTATAACATCAAAAATAAGTTATTAGAGAGTGAAGAAAAAGCTTAACAATTTAAGTAGCATGCACTTAGTTAGGTGATCTTTGGCTCAAGGAGGAAATCAAAAGGGAAATTTCTATTGCTAACAGACAATAAGAAGGAGAAACAGAAAACTAAAAATTAGTGACTCAGCAAAGGCTGTTCCCAGAGGAAAATGTATGACCTCGAATGCCATTACTGTAGGAGAAGAAAGAAGAAAAAGTAAGAGAACAAAGTATTTGTCTTCAGGAATTAATGAAACAACAACAAAATAAACCAAATGAAGCTAACAAGGAGATCTATAAAAAATAAAACCTCAAATTATAAGATTATAGTTTAGTGTATTTATTAAAATTAAATTAATTATAGATAACACTTATTTGGAAGCTAGTTCTTGAAATAGCTTCAAAAACTTGAAAAAAGTAAAAACAGAGAGAAAACAAAAAAGAATCAAACATGTGGCAATCAATTCAAGAATTTAAAGGAAAAAATGACTTGCTGGCAAAGTATATACAGTAGAACTTCGAAGTTGACCACCCAAGGGAGTGTAACAAACTGGTCAACATAGGAGGTGGTCAACATAAGGAACTAGGCCTACTGTACTGATATACCCAAGTGATGCATGTCCAATCTCTGAAAGTTAGGTCAATTTATTTTTTTTTTGAGACAGAGTCTCAAGGTGTCACTCTGGGTACAGTGCTATGGCATCACAGCTCACAGCAACCTCCAACTCTTGGGCTCAAGAGATCCTCTTGCCTCAGTTTTTCTATTTTTGGTAGAGACAGGATTTGACTCTTGCTCAGGTTCGTTTCATACTCTTGAGATCAAGCTATCCACTTCAGCCTCCCAGAGTGCAAGGATTATAGGTGTGAACCCAGCCAAGTTAGGTCAACTTAAGGAGGTGGTCAATGTAGGCATGTGGTCAACTATGGAGGATCTACCGTATTAATCTTATTAACACTGACCTAAGAGGAAGAGGGAACCTTGAAAAGACAAATTAGCATGATTTTAAAAGGTGGTTAAAGATGTATAATTTAAAAAGGTCCCAGGATCAGATGGGTTCACAGGCTAGGAACAGAGATTTCCATTTCTCTTGCTCATAACCTCAGTCACACTACATGGTAATACAGCAAATAATAGTTATCTAGTTATAATATTTAGATTCTACTTGTGGGTTTTCTAATTTTTCAATCAATAGACCAAGCAGACTTAATTGTAATTGTACCATAGGATACAAGTGTTATGAATTTCTTGACCTATTGAAATATGGTTAGCTGGCAAAAATAGGGAGGCTACAGGGGAGAAGTAGATGGCAGTGTAAGTGCATTTAACAGAGAACGAGGGTATACGTTTGCATAAATTTGATGAAGACAGAGGTTTAAGTATATTATTTAATGATAATCATCAGAAGAATAATAAAGACTATCTCTTATAAAGATCGAGAAGGTGGAGAGGGAATGGAAAACAGAAGTGGGAAGTGGAGGAAGAGTGCTAATTTCACCACATTTCATATTGAGGAGTTAATAGGTACTGTCCAAGATGGATAAAGCATGAAATAAAGAGATGAGTATGGCAGTTAAAGTCACCAGGAGAACTCGGAATAGAAACACCCCCAAGTAGCCATTTCTGGGGTGGGACTGGGTGTAAAGAAACTTTATTTTGTACCCTGTATTCTATTTTCATTTAAAAAATCAATTCGTGGCCAGGCATGGTGGCTCATGCCTATAATCCCAGCACTTTGGGAAGCTGAGACCAGTCTAGGCAACACAGTGAAATGACATGTGTATGAAAAAATTATAAAATAAAAATATTAGCTGGCCTGGGGGAGCATGCCTATAGTCCTAGCCACTTAGGTGCTAGAGGCAAAAGGATAACTTGGGCCTGGGAGTTCAGGGCTGCAATGAGCTATGATGACACCATTGCACTCTGGCCCAGGCAAAATAGCAAAACCCTCTGTCAATCAATGTATCAATCAAATCAATTCTTATAAATATCAATACATACAGAAACATACGTGAGCAATATGTATTGCTCAACAGAGAGAGAGAGTGAGTGAGAGAGAGAAAAGAACCAACACATTAGGGAACTCTTTGGAGGAGGGGCAGAAACCCCCTGGCTGCTGCACAGCCAAGGAGGAATTTGTGGGAAGTGCACCACATGAGTCATCTTCCCACTCTGACATGGGCTTCATGGTTCTTAAGAGGGATCAGAGAATCTGTCACCCAGTGGGCTCAGGGTGGTCATAGACAGCACATGCAGGTTCTGGAGCTATAGGGCAAGGACACAGCTGGCACCCTGGTTGCACAAAGGTGAACCAGACACTGTTTCTTCACAGTCTATAGGAGGAGGCAGATATGGAAACAGGCCTTTGCTTGGAGCTGTGTGCAGGTGGAAACAAACTGTCAGGTGAGCATGGAAAAGAAAATGGCTGGAAGAGTCAGGGACGTCACTGTGGAGGGGGTGATCTGAGTTGCATGATGAAGGTTAAGTGGGCTGTGCCAAGGGAAAAGGAGGAAGAGCCTTCCTGGCAGAGGACGAGGAAAGGGACAGGATAGAAGGAAGCTTGTTTATGAGGTGGTGGCAGGTGCATGGCTGAACCAGAGGCCATGTGGAATGGGAAGATTATCAGGAAGTAAGCTGGACCAAGGCTGGGGCAGATGGCAAAGAGACACGTATATAAGCCAAGAGCTTGGGCTTTAGTTCGTGGGTGTTGAAACATCCACAGCGTGGGGGAAATTCATGATCATTTTTGTGTTTTAGAAAGCTCACTCTGGCTGAGGCAGGGAGGTCAGTTAAGATTGTGACTACTAGGTAAGAAACGATGTGAGAACTAAGTCTATGACTAGGGAGTTGTGAGTCTCGGTACAGTCATTGGTTGCTTACCAATGGGGATACAGCTGAGAAATGCATCCTTAGGCGATGTTGTCATGTGGACATCAGAGTGTAGCTATG